ATGCTATAAAATATGTATAGAAATGTAAAAAATCTTTACAATATACTAATAATTAAAATTTAATTTTTATGTTGTTTTAATTTAAATTAAAAATAATATTTATTTATTGAAAAATGTACTAACAATTTTAATGATTTACTTTTTTTTTTCTCTTAATTGTAAATTGATTTAGCGATATAAACCGAGTATTTAGTTGGATTGTTATGTTTTTTAATGTTGATTTTTTTTCTTTTGTAATCACATATTATTTATTTTTTCTTAAAACATGTCAATTTGATAACTCTAATCAACAAAAATGTTATGCAATATGTTGCAAAAGTTCAATTTAAATAAAATTTTCTACCAAAAAACTTATTTTTTCATAACTTATTATAAATGTTGAAGTTAATTATAATACATGAAATCTCATTTTAAAAAAAAAATAAATAAAAAAATTTGAGGGTGATACGGATTATAAGTTTTTAAATACTTGATGGTACAAGTAAATTCATTTTTATATGAAACGGACGTTTCGACTTAAACTACAAGTTCGTTATTTAACATTTAAAATCGACCCCCCTAAGTAAAATTCCTAGATCCGTCACTGCCGCCCGTACCACTACTTCCGAGTTTCAGGCCACTCGACCCTATCGGGACCTTCCGGAATTACCACCGGGCATGCTCATCGTCTCCACCATGTCGGATAGTGCCTAGAATTGAAAGAAAGCCTTCCAAAAACAATAGGGAAACAGGGAACTTTCGGTGCCGTACACTGCGTCCACCACGCCGTGCACGAATACGTCGGGCCTGATTCCCCGTATCAGCTCGAGAACCGCTGTTTTCGACCTGTCCGGAAGGTTCTTCGTGCTGTGTGAAGATGTGTCACGGCCAAGAATTCTTCGGGCTCGATCCGGAAATCTGCCGTGCTGACTGAATCCCAATCCCGAGCGACGATGCCGAAAAACTCGAATGGGACGCCAAAGGCCTGCGCGTAGCGGGCCAGCCACTGGCCCGTCTCCTCCATCATCTCGGTCAGCCCAGGGCCCGGCCAGGGGAAGTCAACGGTAGTGATCCGGAGACTTGGGGGCCCGCCAGGCCGAAGGGCCACGCGCCTGATGAAGGTCGGCCACTAGAAGCCGTGGAGGATGCCGAAGTTGATGAGATGGACACGGGCTGAGCCAGCCGACCGGGCCGCGAGGAGGTTGTTCGAGACGTGGTTTGTGACTTTTTGAAACGGGAAAGACGCGATCGACATGTAGTAAGTCTTGAGGCAGTTGCCGGGGGAGGGGGGAGATCCGTTTTCCCGCGAGTGCTTTGTACACTTGGGTGCCTGTCCCCGCGAGGCGGGCCTCAAGCCCGTCTGCAAAGTAGTGGGCCAACCTCTCGGCCCAGTCGTCGGTAGGCGACGAGTGCCGTCTGATTTTAGTTAGGAGAGCAGCCACGGCTCGACGGTCGCCCGACGCAACCATTTGGGCGCATTTCGTCAGGAGGGTTGACCAGTCGATCGCCTCTTTTAACCTTGGGAGACTTACCAAGCCGGGCCTTACTCACCGAGCTTCTTGATTTTTGCTCGTCTTTCGACTCACGGTCATCGAGCGTGGAGAGCAAGAGCTTGTCGAATTCTTCTATGGGGATGTCGGACTCCGTAAAAACCAGGGGATTCTTGGTGGTTCTTGCTCGATCTTCGCCCGGCTTTACCGCATCATTTCCACCTTCTAAAAAATTTTGAATCGTGACTCCAATAATGTGCAACATTTTACCTTCTCTCGGGTCGGGATTAGCCACCCGTGGGACCCCTTCTTTGAAATCCCAAACCACTTCACTCCCACCAAAAGATCTTTTATGCTTTACGATGCAATACAAGCCACTCGACATGCTAATGGAGGAGTCGGACGGAACAATGTGATTCGTGAGACTGTCAAACGGGCCCGTGAGAGTTTGAACTGGCTTTCGTGGACAACATCAAGTAGTGTTCCGCTCGTCGAACTATAGTGATGATCAGCATAAAGCTGGGACGATTCTTGCTGCGGAGAAGGGGGTATTATTTTCCGAGCACCTTGTAGAAGGATCTCTCGGTCTCCTGAAAATCCGACGACTCTTGGAGCGTGTGGGCCCCATCGTCCGTATCCTCTTCCATGAGAATATGGTCAATGTATCTCAAGGCGGCATCCGACATATCACAACCGTTTCGACTATCGTGGTCATCGACAGTTGATATCTGGCTTGAAGAAGGAAACGACTGTAACAAGAAATTTTATGAAAACATAAAATTTTTGTACAACTTGAATATATTTCGATCAAATGATATTGCGGGTACAATCTCTATTTATCTCCTCTGATTCTTCTCTTCATGGATTTGGGATTGAAACCTTCAAAGATGGATTTGACGAATGAATCTCCTTCGGGCTTGGTCTTGAATTTCTCTAACATTAATTTGGGGGTCGAATGACTTATTCCCGTATTAAATGTTAGGCCTTGACTTGATTGAATATGACTTCTTGGAAGACTTGATTCTTTGATCTTCTTGAAAGAGGGACTCTGGCTTGAATAACGTTGATTCGGGGGCTTGATAGCTTTTTCCCGGATCAAACGCTATGTTGGTTGAACTTCTCAACGAACGCGGCTTGAATGTCGCTTGAACGTCGTTGATATTCTTGCATTGACTTGAGAAGCGTGAAAGTCGTCTCTTTACTTCTTGAGGAAGACCCGCCGCCTCTTTTTCTTCTTCTTGGCCTTCTTCTTCATTGAATGGACTTCGGGCGGTTCTTCAAGAACTTCTTCAAATCTTCAAGAGGGTTCTTGAGAGCTCTTGAATTTGAGACTTTAATATTTGAGATGTGTTTGATATTTTTGAGGTGTTTGAGGTGTGATTTGTAGGGTTGAGGAGAGCCCTATTTATAGGTGTAGGAGAGAGTCTTGGAAAAGACGACATCTATTTGATTGGTCCTTCTTGATTTGATATAATCTCTTTCCTTATCCTAAGATTTGACTTGATGGGCAAGAAACAATTACTTTATTAATTATATATCTTATTTATCTTGGATTTATGTCCCAAAAATAAATGAAGACACTAAATAATAAAATATTAAAATTTCGATGTCTACAAATGCCCCCTTGAGACTTGTTCACGTACAAATGTCTTGGTAGTGAATGAGTCTCAAAATTTTGAATTTGGTTTGGACATGCAAATAGTTTAAACTCTTATCAAGGAGTTCTTCATTTGACTTGATTTGTAGATAGTTTATACTCGTATCAAGGAGTTCTTCATTTGACTTGATTTGTAGATAGTTTAAACTCGTGTCAAGGAGTTCTTCACTTGACTTGATTTGTAGATAGTTTATACTCGTATCAAGGAGTTCTTGATATGTAGACCTTTTATTCTCGTGTCAATGAGATCTTGATATGTAGACATTTTATGCTCGTGTCAAGGAGCCTTCAAGATTGATATGTAGACTTTTTATTCTCGTGTCAAGGAGATCTTGATATGAAGACATTTTATGCTCGTGTCAAGGAGCCATAAGATAGTTTAGGCTCATATCAATGAGCATATGTAGATAGTTTAAGTTCATATCAAGGAGCATTTGAATATGTAGATAGTTTAGGCTCGTATCAAGGAGCATTGGAATATGTTTGAATATGTAGATAGTTTCGGCTCCTATCAAGGAGCATTTGAATATATAGATAGTTTAGACTCGTATCAAGGAGCATTTGAATACGTAGATAGTTTAGGCTCATATCAATGAGCATTTGAATATGTAGATAGTTTAAGCTCGTATCAAGGAGCATCTGAATATTTGATGGAGCTCTTCATGTGACTTGCCACCATGATTCATGGCTTGGGAAAACATCATTCTTCATTGCCCCCATGTACATTTTCTTCAAAGAGGTCTTCATACATCTTCAAAGATTTTCGAACTTGATTTGAAGAGAAGAGATGAGAGGTAGAAATGTCCCACCGGGCGTGCCAAATTTGTAACAACAAACTTTATGAAAAACATAAAACTTTTGTACAACTTGAATATATTTCGATCAAATGATATTGCGGGTACAATCTCTATTTATCTCCTCTGATTCTTCTCTTCATGAATTTGGGATTGAGACCTTCAAAGATGGATTTGACGAATGAATCTCCTTCGGGCTTGGTCTTGAATTTCTCTAACATTAATTTGGGGGTCGAATGACTTATTCCCGTATTAAATGTTAGGCCTTGACTTGATTGAATATGACTTCTTGGAAGACTTGATTCTTTGATCTTCTTGAAAGAGGAACTCTGACTTGAATAACGTTGATTCGGAGGCTTGATAGTTTTTTCCCAGATCAAACGCTATGTTGGTTGAACTTCTCAACGAACGCGGCTTGAATGTCGCTTGAACGTTGTTGATATTCTTGCATTGACTTGAGAAGCGTGAAAGTCGTCTCTTTACTTCTTGAGGAAGAACCGCCGCCTCTTTTTCTTCTTCTTGGCCTTCTTCTTCATTGAATGGACTTCGGGCGGTTCTTCAAGAACTTCTTCAAATCTTCAAGAGGGTTCTTGAGAGCTCTAGAATTTGAGACTTTAATATTTGAGATGTGTTTGATATTTTTGAGGTGTTTGAGGTGTGATTTGTAGTATTGAGGAGAGCCCTATTTATAGGTGTAGGAGGGAGTCTTGGAAAAGAAGACATCAATTTGATTGGTCCTTCTTGATTTGATATAATCTCTTTCCTTATCCTAAGATTTGATATAATCTCTTTCCTTATCCTAAGATTTGACTTGGTGGGAAAGAAACAATTACTTTATTAATTAAATATCTTATTTATCTTGGATTTATGTCCCAAAAATAAATAAAAAACATTAATTAATGAAATATTAAAATTTCGATGTCTACAACGACGACTCTTTGTCGAGCGCTCAGAAAACTCGGCTGCGGATCGGACAACCGAAAGAAATCCATATTGATGAATTCAAGTGTTCATGATCAAGCAGATCCATTTTTCCCAACAACTCAATTAATCAAGAAAAAAAAATGAACCTCAAAAGTTCGAATATAAATCAAATCAAACTAATAGCTAAGATGAAGGCCAAAGTGTGATATTTTATGTTTACCTTTGGTCGGGAATAAATTGAGCACAAATAGCTGCATGTGACAGATTTGGATGATCAAAAAGTTTTGATGACCTCTTTATTCAAATAATAACAAAGAATATATATAATCAATACAATATCATTAATCGAAGGTGAGAATATCATGACGTATATATAAAATAAATGTAAGTGGAATATAAATGAAATATCATTTGTAATATCAGTAATGGCATATGATTTGAATCATTTGATAAACTGCCTGATCCAATTGTCATTTGCCGTTTGTTAACAATTAGCAAGATTATCTATAATCAATGTTAATTTTTTTTTTTTTTTTTTTTTTTTTTGTGTAGTCTTTATGATTTACACCTGTTAATTTATACAAATTACTCCCGTCATCATTATCAGATTTGGCCGTCGAGTCCCGTCGGAGACAACCGCGCACCAGCAGCCCCTCTTTCGACTCGCGATCGGGTATACATGGCTTCTCACATGAATCTTATCCATGGTTTGTTTGTTTAATTTTTTTTTTATCCCGAAAATCCTATTTCTTAATTGTTAATTGAACCCCCACATAGGATTCTTTTTTTTTTTGAATTCAAAAAAATATGTTCGTTTCATAGAATGGCATTTTTGCCCCCTTCAGGGATAAGACATATCATGTTCGGTCTATTTCTTTATTTCCCCATGAATCATATGTTTGGCAATTGCTGAAAAAAATCAAGCATAAAATAAAGTTGAATCCCTTCTTCTGTTTTTTATTTAATCACACGTTGTAAACATATATCTTATTCAAATCCGAATTGGAGAATAAGAAGATTGGCAGTCTGTCTTCGAATCAGGAAGTACCAGCAGATAATGAAGTAGGTCTGGTCACTCGAGCAGAATTTAAGACTTTCTTAGCCCCGTATCTACTTTTGATTCCGGAACACTGACTTAACCTTCAAATTCAGATAGTGAGAGAGTGAAGAATCGTAGTTCCTGCACCTTTCGTGGCGTCTCCCAGTCCACCACGGCTTGCGACCCAACTCGTAAACAAACCCTATACCTCTGCCTGACTTCTTCACTTGCCACTTCGGATCGAAGTCCTTGTTGGTCCCGAGGGACGGAGCAGGCTAGGTTAGCCGAAAGATGGTCATCGGTTCAAGAACGTAAGGTGCCCCTTTTCCAAAGAAGAAGAAGAAGAAGAAGAAGAGATTGATGACGATGTTGAGGCTTGTATTCAGGCTTTTGATATTAATTTTAATCACCTTCTTCTAGAAGGATCATCTAGAAAGCGATTGGTTTTGTCAATGAAATATAAATATAAATGATATAAAAACATACATTATTTATTTTCATAATATTACGCAAATAAAATTCATTGAATGGACCAACACATTATGTACCATATGTAAAGTCATAAAAGTAGTAAGCCCAATGCTTTCCCCACCAATCATAAAATTCATTAATGGACCAACACATTATGTAACACATTCAAAAAAATGGCCCAATAAATTAACAACATTAGCAAGCCCAATGTTTTCTCCTGAACATAGAATATTGTTTGTTGATAGCAGTGTTTGTTTTGCTCCAACATATTCTCGGATAGTAATAAATGACAACAAACAATTGTGCTTAATGGTGTGGATAGTGCTCAGGAGGATGATTTTGAGGAGAAGGATGCGGTATTTCATGATGTTGTGGATGTTGTTGAGGAGGATTCTGAGCTATTATGTGATGTCGTGGACCCGAGGTGTGCGTTGATTGATGAGTCAACTTATGATGTTGAGTATGACGTGGTTCCCATGTCCTTCGGTTCGTCTTTTCGTATTATTGAGGATCGTGAACATTTGGAGGAGTTTAGTGCGCCTACGCCCATGCTCCCAATGCTTGAGCTTGATGAGTACACGTTCGAGATAATGCAAATGATGGCCGGGATTGATTGGACGTGCTCCACGGATATGTTCATATTTCCGGAGGTCGAGTATGGGGCCTCAGTTCGCAAAGATTCATCTCTCCTATTGGTGGTTGTTGATATCCGTGCTCGGTTTCACAAGAATTCGGCTACGAGAGTTTATTTGGCCCGCCTTTGTTTGGTGATACCGGCTCGTCTACTCTTGGAAAATACAA